TGTTTGTTTGTGTGTTAGTTTGTGTGTATGTGCTTGTTTCTTGTTTATTGGTTTGTTTGCTTGCTTGCTTGCTTGCTTGCTTGCCTGGTTTCTTTGGTTATATTTTGCGTGTGTGTTTTTGAAGGCACCGCTTTGGCCCATTTGAGCTCAAATCGGAAAGAAGGAGAACCTGAAATGCTCACCCAGACTTCCTGGACACTGGACTTCCAACTTTTTGGGCAAACCATAACCACAAAGCTTGGACTCGGACTTGTTTGGGCGAATCCACTCAGGGTGTGACAATCTGTCCATGTCCTTATGTTGCAAGGGCTTCTGACGGATAATGTTGCCGGAGCATTTGGCAGAATGGGGGAGGTATTGTGTTTTGTCCCGCGTTGCCTTCCTGCAGTTTACTTTACATGAACCGCTGGTGTTAACCACGGCATCAAATCCGGCTTAACTTATCCAACCCCCGGCGCAAAATGGAGGACCGAGATGGATTCCAATGCGGTCATACATGGGAGTGTGAGTATGTGTTTGTTTGTGTGTTTGTGCGCGCGCGCGTGTGTGTGTGTGTGTGTGTGTGTGTGTGTTGAGGGTGCTCCTTCTAGCTTGGCGCAAAGGGAACTGAAAGGCGACACACCATGCTGGGGTCCCCGTATTTTGACGCATGCAAATGTATTGTTTTTGTCCCATATCTAGTCAACGTCAACCTTGAGATATAAAGTGAACATGTTCCTGCTCAAGAGTTGATCTCTTGCCTTCAATTCATTCGGCCAATTCACTAAGGAAGCGAGATAGGGTGTTTCTCGACATCAGGGACGCCTCAATTGATCGGTTCCTGTATCCCTTTAAAGATAGCCAAGAAGGGGTTCGCAAGTTTATGACAGAGACCCGTATTTGGGGTCTCCTTATTTTGTTTCTATGATGTAGAATTTGAAAACACAATCTGAAAAACAACGTTGAAACAGAGTCATCGGCTCAAAGTAGTGCAACATGTAGCTACGGCGAAGCCGGTGGGCAGAAATTACACTATTACATTAGATATAGTTAAACGGTATTTATTGTGTTCCGTCTTTTTCCTTTCTCTCTCTCTCTCTTTCTCTCTTCTTTCCCTTTGCCTTGTTTATTACCTTCTTTTGTTATTCCTGTTGTTCTTTCTGTTTCGTTCTTTCTTTCTTTCTTTCTTTCTTTCTTTCTTTCTTTTTTTCTTTGTCTTCTCTCTCTTTCTTTCTCTTTCTCTTTGTCTATCTGTCTAAACTTCACTTGGCGAAGCAGAGGCTGAAAGACAGTGTCTTGTGACATTTGGCTGTGGGTCAAAACCAATGGTACCATTTTGCGGTAGGTGAATTTCCCACCCATTTTAGTCTATTTTAGTGGGGATTGGGATGTTCACTGGGCTACGATTTGGCTTTTCACCCATGGCCATATGGCTGGTCAAAAATGCGTACCCGAAATGGACGCCTGATAAAAGAAAACAGGGGCCAAAACCTGCGGTCCGATTCCTGGCTTTATTTTGACCCCTTGTGACCCCTGGCCATATGGCCAACCGCTGGCGCGCTGGCGGTCGCCGACGGCATTTCTCGGGCCCGAGAGGTTGGAAGAAGAGACGGGCCGCCTGGAAAAAGAGCTCCTGGATGCGCGCCAGCGGAAGCAGGCGCACGGCAATCTGGCCGGGGGCATGGCGCGGGGCTGTTGTTTTTTTTGTTGCTTCCACATGGTATGGTTGAGATTGGTAATATTGATCCAAGAAAACAAATTCTTAGAGTTAATGAATCGACTCCACCGATCGCCATTGGTATTGCTAGAGTTGGTTTGCGCGCTTGTGTGAACCAAGGAGAGGAACGTCAGCATTGGCTGGCCTCGAGGTTGACATGCCAAAAACATGTTTGCCGTCGCTCCTTTGCTCAGCCCAAGGCGATCCTGAATCCTCACTTGACCTTGTGGCCTGTTGGACTTTTCCTTTGTGGCATGTTTGTCAAAGGCCCCAAAGGCCAGCTGGCTAACCTTTGATCGCCCATCGGACATGGGCGCTGACAAATTGACGGTGTGTAAGTTTATCAAGATGAAGCCATGAGACATTGCCAGATTTGGTGAGTTCACCTGTTGGCGTTTGGGTCTCATTGTTTCCGTTCCGCCTGCAAAGTCTGACACGGAAAAGATAGACAGTTGAGTTCCGAAAGCCGCCCATTGCCACCAAGAAGGGCGGTCAAGTGGGGCCCTTGGCCCCCCTTTCTAACTTTTGCTGAGAGGAGGGTTCCGTTTTTTCGCGCGACCGCGGGAGGGGTGGGTGTCCCCAAAGACCCATCAAGGGTAGGCCCTGATTGGCCTTTTTTAGTAATGAGGTTTAGTAGTTAGCCCTCAGCCTTGGTTGCTAGAACCCCTGGTGATGTTTTAGCTGCTTGGTTCGCATCATGATAGGCGAACGGGTCGCCTTGGCAGCGCCGCTTCTTTCGCTTCGCTCGCCGTCAGAAGCTGCTGGCGGACTTGGCGGCCAAAGAAGCGGAGCATGAGGCGCAATTGGCGGGGACCCCCGGGCCGAGACAGCTGAGAGAGAGGCACCGGTTCTTTTCTTTTTTTCCGGCGTTTGTAAATGAAGTGGGGGTCACCCAGAAAACCAAGGAGCACACGGAACTGGGGTCATGGTCTTGGCTGGGCGGACTGTTTCCCTTGAACCCGCTTTTCCAGGCTTGTTTTTTTCTCGTAAAGTCGCCTAAAACTGCTATAAAACTCATATGTTGATGAGATTTCAGAATTGGCCTCTTGTACGGAATTGCCCGCAAAACGCCCGCACAAACCTGCAAACGCCCGCAAAACCCCGCAAACGCCCGCAAATCGGAAAAATACTTGTTTGGGGTTTTGGGGTAGGCCAAAACTCCTAGAAGTCACTTGGAACTCCCAACGCGCCCAAAACTACCAGGAAACCAAAACGTCTAGGAAAAGGCCGGAGAATGAATCTCCAGGTGGGCTGAAAAAAATACCCCGCGCCTTTTCGTTATGTAAGGGGCCGTCCCTTAACTTGTTTCGCAGGCCAGAACCATTGTAAACCGATACAGAGGAAGAAAAACCGATACCCCCAGAAGCCATGAAGACACACATCAGGTCCAAGTTGTCGTCGCAAGCCAAGATCGCGGAATCATAAATTTGCAGGGCCCAAACCGATACCCAAACCGATACCCATTCGATACCCAACTCAGTGGCCGCCACGCCGAATCCAACCAGCTGCCCTGCAGCCTTCCCTGGAGCTGCCAAAATGCACTTTGTGTACCACATTTGTAAAGAAAAACTTACTTGCACTGAAAAGCTGCGATTTTCGAGCCGGAGCTGCCAAAGTCTACTGCGCATACTACTGAAAAGTTGCGACTTTCCAGCTGGAGCTGCCAAAATGTACTTTGCGTACTACACTTGTACTAAAAAGTTGCGACTTTCCAGCTGGAGCCGGGAGCTGGCAGAGTGTACTTCGCATACTACACTTGTACGGAAAAGTCACGACTTGCGAGCTAGAGCTGCCAAAACACTGCAAACCGATGCAGAGGAAAAAAACCGATACTGGCCGATACTAGGGCATAAGGATACAAGGGTTGTCCACGGGGTTGTTTTTTCAACCCAGGTGGTAATATAATGAGCCCGGTGGATGACAACGTTTAGGGGTGGGTTTGCCTTTATAGCCATTTTTTAAGGTACTTTCGGGGTGTTAAGCATGTCCCAACAGCTGAAGGCTCTGGGGTCTCTGGCTTAAATAGAACGTTAGGCTTCCCTGGAATTCGCTTTAGGGTTGCCATCCATTTTCCTACCCCAAGAATTTGAGAGCAACACTAACTGTCCAGTGAGGTCAGAAAGGCTGAGCTGAACGCGGAGTTGGAGGACAGACTTCCTATAGGTGTGTGCGCGCGCCCACAGAAGCCTTAAGTGGAGCAAACCGTATTCCATGAAGGGCCCACATGCAGTAGTTAAGAGAAACACATGCATAACCAGGCGGGCGCTTGTATTTCTAGATAGGGTTGGGGATGCTGAGCCAACAGGGGTCCCGGGCCCAACTTGTTGCATGGTCTTTGGCCGTTAGTATAGCCTTGCTAGCCTTGCTTATACGCCCCCCCCCCCCCCCCCAAAAAAAAAAAAGGGGGGAAGGACCAACCTGCAATCAAGGTTTCTAATTGCTCGTTTGGGCTAACGAGGGTCCATGGCCAAGTATTGTTTGAGCCTCCAAATTGGCTTCGGAGTAGGGGTCTGTTCTACGTGCCGACCGCATCAAGTGTTTTTGAGCTCCTTTGCAAGGAGCTGAAGAAGAAGTGGCGCTGCGTGATCTCCTGAGGCGGTCATGGCTTGTTTCACCCCTGGCTTGCGCTGAAACGAGCGCGCGTGGGCGAAACATCCGCCTTTCGGCCTGCGCGAGAGGCGCGTGATCAATCCACCTCAGGCTGAGTGGGTTATGGCCACTGTCATCTAGGTCCCCCAGTAGTTCCCTTAGCACCTCTTCTCAGAAGGTTTATTCTAGGAGCCTTGGTGTTTCAAGTACTGCACTTTCCCTTGGAAATAACAGGGCTCTTCTTGGTGGGGGTAGGACCATTCAGATTTCTCCCCCCTCAAAGCCGCAAGGGACGGTTATAAAACTGAGTTGGTTAGGTCCTAATTAGTACAGGGGGCTCTCCTTGCTAGACTTCATTCATTGGCAAGATGTGCGGATTTCTGCCCTTGACGGCTGATTTTTCTGTTGGATCCGCATCTCCCGAGGGCTTCGCCCAGAACGAGTGTCGTTGCAAGCAACAACACACGGATTTGGTCTGCCGACTTGGATAGACATTATGTGGGCTTTGGATATGCACGGGATCTGGCGCGAGCTAAGTCGACGGGAGTGCGTCAGGCAAGTGGGTTGCTATGGCGGCAAGTGGGTTACTATGCCTGGAAGTGGGACAAGCGCGGCGAAATCATAGCCAGAACAACCTGTTGGACACGCAACCAGGCTGAAATCTACGAAGGTTCAAGGGGAGTTCGCGGAGAGGTTGGGTCACTGCCCCCGGTGTTGCTCAAGAGCTTGGGACCTTGCGCGGGCCACGGACCACCGCATCGCTGCTGACAAGGCCGGAGGGTTCGGATGGTTTCTGCTGGTGCTGGAAACCAGGCGGGAACACAGGTTGAATCGTGTGAATGGCCGTGGAACTCCGAGAGGGGGCTTCTAGGTCAAACAAATAGCCCAGGCACTATCACCTCCAGACTTATCTCTCTGTGAACTGATGGGAAGGACCAAGCCTTGGTGGGCTCATGAACCATTGCTAGATTAATGTTGGTCCTTCCGGCGTCGACGTCAGTCGGGGGGATGGGGTTCCCGTTCCAATTGCCGAGCCTTTGCGGTGAATTCGGCCCGGATGTCAGGCGAAGGATGGTGTTGAAGACGAAGCTTACCGAGGCAGGTGCCAGGGCGGAGGTTTTCTCGAAATCAGATTAGTCAGGGTGCCGCATATTCCATTTGCTTAAGAATATATTTTTTTTCTTTTTTTCCCCCTTGTTGGTTTTAAAAGGAATTCATCACTACTGAAAATAATTTGTTTTTTTTTTTTTTTTTCCAGGGGTCTTAACCAAATGGAAGTATAGCTTTAATGATGATTGTAAACATGTCCCTTCGGTAAGTGCGTTTCCTTTCGGTGGGGTGCTGGTTTTCTTTTGGTAACTGCAGCTGGACCTGTCAGTGCCTCCCAAACCTCAGATAGGAACCAGTCTTGAGGTAGGTACCCCATTCTTTTCACCAATGTCTTCTGAAAGCTCCTTGAAATACCCTCCCACCGACTAACATAAAACTGCATAGACCCCTGTAGAAAGACTACTTTCCTCTTGGAAAGGGGCTTTGTGCACTTCCGTGTTGGCGAGAGGGTAATTGGGAAAGTACAAAGGTCATGCGAACAGCCTGAATGAATAGGACAACCTGCCCTTTTCAGAACCCTTCCATGAATATTTCCTGAGCTTTGGCCGACTTTGCTGAAATGCCCTCGCTCAATCTTTCTTTTCTGCATGCTTGGCTGCTCAATCCTCCTGCATCGCTTCTTCCTTCTCGTGGATCGGACCTTACCCAATAAACACATGTTTCACCCCCAATTGTGTTAGTGAAATTTTGGGTCGTGAGACGTTTTCCTCTTACGGGGAAGGAATGATGCTAACTGGCCCATATGTTCTTAGCTTCCCCAAAAGGAAACCCAACAGAGATGGATATATGTGTCTTGTTGCAGGCCCCCTATTTACCGCCGAAGTAAAAGGAGTATATGGATATGCGTCTAAATGGGGGGACCCCCATGGATTTCGCCAGGCTCTTGGCATCAAGCATGGCACTCAGAGCCCGCTGGTTTTCTTTGATCGCCATGGTGTTTTCTAATGTGATTTCAGTGGTTTTCCATGGTGTTGTCCCAGGTCAAGTTTGTTTTGCCGCCCTTTTTTTGAGATGGTTTACCTGCCAGCTGACGGGGTCTTTTGATTGGCTGCTTTCCTTTTGGTTGGACCCACCCCCCAAAAAAAACATGGACCCCCCACCTCCCGAAGAAAAGGACAAGACTGTCCACTCCCGTTTCGCTGATTGGAAGGGGTAGTTTGTCCCGGGCCGAACAGCTGGCAGCCAATGGGAGCGCCCGGCGACCCAGGCATCCCATCATCCAGGGCGGGTCGCAGCCTGAGAGCCCCGACACTCGCCGCTCCGCTCGGCGCTTTGCTCGGTGCTCCGCTCCGACTGCAAACCGGCCGAGGCCGTCCACTTGTTGTTTGGGTTTTTGTCTGTTAAAGGAGTGTGTCCCTGTCAAAACGACCCAAAAAGTGTGGAGCCTCAACAAAAAGATGGAGGCCAATGTTATGCACTTGTTTTTGTAAAAAGATGTGGTGGATCCTTTCCGAACCAAGAACGGTTGATTCCCATTTACCCTCTACAAGAACCAGGGCTGCAAATCCAAATCCAAACCACCAACCAAACTCACCAATCGAGGATTCCGGAGTTCACCGTTATCTCAACCGGTTGAACGGGACCTTTGGTGGGCCAGGTGGGTTTCCTGTCTCCCTAGGGTTGATCAACCCAAAATGGGGGTGGGGAGTGGGCGAATCTGTTTTTGCCTTTGAGATTTGGCACGCGCATGCACTCATGATGCTTTCCGTGCGAATGCAAGAATGGAGGCCCGAGCCAACTGTGTGCCGCAGCCTTTCTTCTCTATGCGGAGCGTGTACCCACTGTCATGAAACGAGCACTTCCCTTGTAAGTGCCATGTGTTTCAAAACAAATCTTGACTGCTATTGGGTTGGATCTTTAGACTTTAACTTTTTAGGAAAATCAGCGGGTTTCCACTAAACCACAAAAAATCAACCTTTTGCAGGGGGGGTCAACAGCAACCAAGAAGTGAAAGCAGGCCTCAACAGGCGTGCTGGCATGTGCTCGCAAGGAAGCCATGGATCGGGATTGCTACCGGGACATAGCCCTTGAAACTTGCGCTTGCGTCACACAAAGCATTTGGCCGCCTCAACATGCCCCATATGATCAAAGACACTGGATTCATATCCAGATGCGAGATATTTAATCCGAAAAACGGCCCGCTGTACCATAACAACCATAGCACCGCTTTGCCACAAAAAGCAAAAACACAACGGTTTTCCTAGAGTTTCCTCAGGTTCCCTTCAGGAACCTCCAAATGTAGGAAACCAACGGTACATTGATCAACTTTTGAAGGGCCCAAATGTGACCCTGTTCTCCAGAGAGTTGTTTTGTGTTTTGCCGTGGGCTTCTGCCTGGCATGCGCGGATCATTCGCTTGCCGAGCTGCATGGAGACGACGGTGCGTGCAGGCCGGGCAAGGACCAATTTCGCTTGCGATGTTCCCCAAGGCCCTTGGGGCTTGGCTCAGCGCTTTGTAAACCCACCCAAGCTTGACCCTGAAAATTAGTGTAGGGTGCACCTTTGCCTGCCCCCAGACCATTCAAGTATGTTTCCGTGCCCTTCCGGTCTCGGCGTAACCCCAACTCAACCCTGTAAACCTCGCGGTCTCGGCCCACATCCTCCAAGCAGCCCCCCACCCTTTATAATTCCCGCGGGACGGCCAGTGCGTACCGGACAGGTTGCCAGTTGGTGGGCTCTGCCCTTTGTGGTTGCTGGTATTATGGGCTCACGTTTCGTTTGCATCATTTCTTGTCCCCTTTGGAAGATCAGTTGAATTGGGGCCTGTGTAGGTAGAAAATGCGCGGCATGATTTCGAGTTAGAGGAGGGAGGAGGCATTCTTCAGATCGGCAGGTCTTCCTACTCTTTAAAGCAATTATGCCGGTGTCCGGTTTCTTGCTTACTGCTTCAGCATATTCTAAAAAAACAACCATGTTGACTCAGAGCGTGGCTAGAATGTCCCGCTTGCTTTGAATTTCTGAAGGCACGGGTCTTAGGGGCCGGGTTCTTCAACTTTAACTTTAGGAGGTTTAAGGACGGCTTGTTGGCAAGAAGGCCTTGGCAAGCCTCAGCAGCCCTTTGTGAGTGGGTTCATAGCTTTCGGCCGACGAGATCCAAAGGCATGAACGTGGAGTTGCCGGGTGAGAGCCTTTGGGAGACAAACATGGGAGCGGGCGGCCGCTTTCCCCCGTACCTTACTTTGAATCCGACTGCTCTTTTAAAGTGTAGAAGTCTTTGGCGGTTGGTCTGAGATGGCTAAGTTGGTAAGAACTTCAAACTTGAAGTTTGGCCGGTTCAACCGGGGGTTAGGTACCTTGAAGTGTTTGTTTCCGAGATTTATTCGAACCTGGAGAGGAGGTTCGTTCGTGACATTTTTTACACCCCCAACCCCTGCTTTGTTAGAACTCTTCGAGCTCCTATGTTCCCTCCTTTCTGGTTTTCTGGTTTTAAACAACAGTTGATTGAAAGTGAGTCTCCTTTCGGGGGTGATGTTTTTTGGGTAAACACAAACAACACATGCATACAAGGAGCCCTGTCATGGAGCTAACAATCAATGGTAGGGAGCCGTCACCCCACTTAAGTTAGGCAGGAGGCCTTTTGTATTTGTTGTTTCCACGTCAAGTTTCAATGACTCTGCCGAAAGCGAATCGACCTGAAATTACCCTTTAGTTCCCCCTTTTTTGGCAACTAGCTTAGTTATGGCCCTGAAAGGTTGCTTTTTATTTGCAGGTCCTTTGCGCAACTGAGCCTAACGTGGTTCAGAATCAAACAAGTTGTTGGTGGTCGGGTAGAAAGCGGCAGAATGGGTTATTGGGAAAGCCATTGACACTATGGTACCAGAGGAGTGCAAGTCCCATTGCCATTGCCATCAGCCTTTGTCGAAAGGACACTTAGGATCATGAGTGTTCCCCTGATTTGTTAAGTAAGCGGAATTTTTCGTTACCCCAACCCTGTTGTCGTGGCCTGTCAAGTGTCTATCTATAGGACCCCAGATGGCAAGGATCGCGGCCCTTGCAACATCCCCACGCGACAACCCCTAGGGAGGGCGTCCACATTCATGAATGGTGCCCCCTTGCTGTCCGCAATTCCTTGGTTTGTCCTTCTTTGAGGCTACCCTTTTCGGAGTCAGTTTATACGGAAACCAAAGGAAACCGTTGATTTGTCGGCCTTCCCCCAGTTGGAGACAAACCCTGGGGGATCCAAATGCAGGCGCTATGCCTGCTGTCCTCGTGCCTTGGCCCTGATGGAAGCTGTTCAAACAGTGGACAACAGCTCGAGACTACCTGAGTTACCACTAAAAAGGGTCGGCGCAATGGGGTCCAAAGCCCCCAACACCGAAGGGACTTTTTTTATGTTTTCTTTCTTGGGGCGTCCCCAAGAAAACTCCACCAACGTCTCCGTCATCTTAGAACCTCCCGGCATTACTGACTTAGAGTTCGTTCTTTGACAATGTGTTTCGTGTGATGAGGCCTAGATTTCCTTTGCTTTGATTAACTTCTGGAATGCGATTTGCTTTGCTAGGGAGCTGCTTATGATGGCGCTCTATTTTGAGGTGAGTTGCTTTAAATTTTGGTTGCCACTTTCTGTGATACGCAAGTTGCAGAATGGTCCTAGGGAGTGCCTTGTTAACAGGAAGGTTCAGCTTCCGCAACACACTGCTTTAGAGCCCATGATGTATTGCAGCTCAACCCTGATGATCTACCTTTCGCCGTCACTGGAAGCCGTGGTTGTGATTTGACTAATTCGACTCGTCCGGAGTTTGGCGACAACTCTCTTGACCCGCCCTGAAAAAGCCATCCCAAAAAGGGTACCCTTAAAAAAAGACATCCATTGACAGTGGTTTCCGTCAGTTTCTTTGGAGAATCGGATCGGCCTTTCAAGATTTGGCCCCACCGGGAATGGGGGCTGGAGGATTTGTTTGGTATTTTTTGACTTTATCCAAAAGCCCTATTTGCAGGGAAATTTGAATTGGTGGTTTCAATTGGTGGTGTGAAATTTGGATTTGAACCTTTGGCTTTTGTAGAAGGATGAAAACCCACCCCCTAACCACCAAACCACCAATCCAAGCCACCAATCAGAGGGAAGCTGATAGCACCCAAAGGCTGAAACTTCAAGCGTTCATGGTGGAATGAGCCACTTATCACCCCACCCTTTGCAAATGCACAAGCGCGGGGCGGGGAGTTATCTTTTGGGGGGTCTGGAGGCTTTGCGTGGCCAAATTGGATTTGTTGACCTTTTATTTGGTGGTGGTGGGGGGGTGGTCGAGTTGGATTTGAGCCTTTTGTGTTTGGTTCCCCCCCCCCCCCCCGGCCGGAAACGGGGGGGGGCAGCTGGAAACGGAAATGCATCCTTTGTCTTTTGAATCAGAGGCCTCCAAAATGTACAAATTGTTTCATCCACGTGGGAATGCCCCAAACCGGAAATGTAATGTACGCCTAGGGTAGCCCGCAGTGCTAAATGTGTGGTGCCAACTGCTACGCTTGTGGCCACCCGGATAGTGAATTCCAGCAAACAAATCCCATGAGTAACTTTGTTAGAGTTGCTATTAGCCTCTCCAAGCATGGAGGGGCCATTGGGGGTAACTTTGGCAATCATGCATAGGAATGTATGGCTTGGATATTTTGTTGTCAGGCTCTCGTGTCAAACGTGCCCTTTGATTCTTCATGCCTACGAAACGTCCCAATCTGCTGTGCAAGATTCGCTTTGAGCCGGCTTCTCTTTGAAACACAGGATCCCAGGGACATGATGCCAGCTGACAGTCAAACAGTCAAATCTCAGCCAAATACCAGCTGATTGAGATCATCCGAGTCCTTGTAAAGGTATTGGACGAACCCTTGCACCGGAACAAACTGGGGTCTCAAAATAGGAGGGCAAAACCCATACAAGCCATCCTACCCCATTTCTAGGTTCCACGACTTGGGTGGGACCACCCAGCAATTCTGCCTTTCCAACTGGCTCCACAAAACGCCATGCCCATTTCTTGGTGGCTCCTAGCCATCCCCTTCGCCTTTTCGCTTTTTAGCGTTTAGTGGGGATTTCCATTTAACTCACAACTTTTAGCGGGGGATCTGAGGACAGCCCAGATTTTGAGAACCTCCCAACTTCCACCCCCCAAGGCCGTGGCTCTTCGCAGTTTTCCGCAGCAAGTTGGCGCTGAATGCGGAGAGCGGCGCCGCTCGGCGTGAGTTCCCGAAAGCGCTTGGCATCTAGTAAACTCACTGCCATTTCAAGACTTTGCTTTTTTCGGGG